ATATATATATATATATATATATATATATATATATATATATATATATGGAATATTTAAATGATATATATGTTGTATTGAGTTTTTAAGTGATAAATATGTTATTTTTAAAATTATATGTGCTTGTACTCCTAATTAAAAAAGAAAAATCATGCACCATACAACGGCTATGAAATATTATCTCAACTGATAAAAACCTTAATAGAATATTAATAACCCATGTAAAAGGAATGAACCGCTTCCATAGTTTTATTATTATTGGAGAATTTTTCTTATTTACTTATTATTATCTATTATCAGTGATAAAATATTATCTCAATGATTTAGAAATAAATACAATAAACTTAAGAAAATTATATAGGAACTTAATGAATAACATACTTATCTATTTTTCTATCAATGTTGAATCCAATTGGCTGTCATCGTTGTCATAATATTATGTAGAGTTCTCCAAAATCCCAACACACTAAAACTATAATTAATTGGAGAAATATAGCTTAAAGTTGCCGATGCAACGATTCAATGAAACTTGAAGTAAACACACACTGCACGCAAGCAACAAAGAAAACGTTCTTGCAATCTTCCGATAGAAGCATGCAAGCGTGCCCGGCATGAACGCGGTGGAGAAGGCCAGAATAGCAACTCCACTTCTATTCCAACACGCATCGTTAGTGACCCATCCACAACGCGTTGATCGCCTCATGGTCTTCGCATTGCTCTCGATCGGCTTCAGTAAAGTCAGCAGCTAAGTCGGAGGAAGATGAGATTTGACGAAAACTTGCACTCCCATGGAGTTACCACCGGTAAAAGAATTCTTCACCGTGATCTGAGCGTGTGTGTGTTGCGTGAGAGAGAGAGGAAGAAGAGCAGGTGGAGGAGTGGACATGGCGGAGAAAACAAAAGAGGAAGAGGATTCCATTTGCCTCCAAGCTGAAGGACAAGAAGTGTAGAATCCTCCTTTTAACCCCAACTACTGGTCAACCTTTAGCTCTACATATACACAAGTGCAGCTGCAACTTTTAGATCTTCCATTCATAGGTTTGTCACTTCCCGTACATGAACCGAGTTGCGACTTCTGATGAGTCAGTATCATGATATAGACGTACTGAAAACTCTCAATCCTTCCAAATCGTCAAGGGATATAAAAGTGCTTATTTTTCTTTATAATATTGAAGAAAATTAACTCGTAAATACTCCTTCTAAAGGTTGTTGATATTGCTAAAATGTAATTAACATCAACAGAACCAATTTTGTATCCACCCTCAAATATATAGCTTTGTGATCGACAGCTGGTCCTTTTTTCCGGTGTGCATGTTTGACCTTCGCTCTCGGTGACTGTCGCATGCATGAACTTGGATTGACTGTCTTGCGACAAAGAAGAGAACAAGGTAGGCTGCGCTGACTTCTGTGGCTAGAAGTCAACCCTCGGAGTCTTCGCTCATAAACCTAATAGTTCGATTCCTACGCTGCCATGCATGCATTCTCCCATTTCTCTTGGTTTTGGAATCGATCACTTTCACGTCGAATTCCTCATTTTTGTGCCTTCTAAACGCACAACAGCACTATCAATTCCACGAGAAACTTCGGTCTGATGATTCACTACAGTAAACAATACTTATTATATCAATCATCATAAATTGCTAATAAAAGATTAAAAAACTACAGTATATGTAGAGAACTGTGTCGAGAAACCTTTCTACAATTTAGTATCGACATGATAAGTGTTAGCACATATCAACATGATTCGATTTACTATTAATTAATTTAACACATCCGTGGATGAGAAAAGTGAAAGATTTATGTGAGGCTATTGACATAATGATCTTATAAACACAATCTTAATCGATTTTAATTTTTATATGTCTCGATCATAATAAAAGATATCACAAAAAGTTGATAGTTATTATTATTATTTTTATTTATTTATGATTCATGTGTTAGATTTAACAATTATGAAATACTTATGATGTCCAATATATACTAATACAACAATACATAATTCTATTTTCGCCACTTATCATTTATTATATATTTACATATTAATAAAATAGAAAAAAAAATAATAGACTGAGAAGGAACAAAAAAGGAGGAAGATGGTGGTTAAAATTAAAATTTAATGATATATATTTTTTGATTCATCGATTCAACCATAAATACACTGATTCGTATATTCCATTGTAATCTTATTTTTTAACATTAACTATAGCATAATATATATTTATTTATACTATTTGTATGGAAGTTTGATGGGAGTCAAAAGAAAAAAGAAAATTTTTATTGACGAAAAATAACAACGCGGTTCACATCAGCGCCAAGTCATCCGACCCACTAATCGCGTAATCTTCAAACTCACGAGGCGAGTTCTTTCTAGAACAGATGTGGGGGCCACGCATTCCTTCGGAAACACGTTGGCTGCCAGGGAGGTATAGTAATGGGTGGCGTCCTGTTTCGGTCCAATTCTGCTCCTTGCATGCCTTCGTTTTTATGGAATCGATAATACAAACCCACCCAACTAAAAAAAATGAGAATTCTATGCATTTGCTATTTTGGTCTCTTCTTCTGGAATTATTATTAGAATTTGGATACGGTAATATAAACCCACCCACTTAAGATACGGTAACTTCGGATTCACATGACGTAGACTAATGTACCAAAATCAATAATAGCTCTCATATAAGTTAATTAATTAATTAACTGAATATTCAACTAATTTGCATGTTGGACAACGTGGTACACATTTCTTAGTTTGGCACAAAGAAAGAAAACAAATAAAATGATGTAGGAAATGCTCTTATTAATTAATATTTCGGAAGAAGAGAAGACATTTCTCAATCTCAAAGCACGACGGCCAATTTCTCAATCTCAAAGCATAAGGAGCACTTCAAAGTGTGTGCCGGTTAGGGTGGTCCTGTCAACAGATTAGCCATGGATTCGTGGGCCGATATAAACGGCACAACCACGATTAATTGTGCAACAGCTCAGGTCAAGGTGGTTGCGTTTCGCACGTACCCCTGACACGTGTGTGTATATATATATATATATATGTATATCGAATCGTATTGTATTATGTTTTTATTGCATGTTTGATTCCGTTAAATCAACCTTATGATGCTAAGAATTATTAGGATGACAGGAGGAGATGGACTGGGAATGTTTTCTTAAGAAAATACCTGCTATAGAAGCTAAAAGATTGATTACAGAGATGCATCTCCAGAATGACTTAAATTGGTTTCTCCCATTGACCTCCAAGCCGAAAGATACATGCCATTTATGATTCGAGTTCCCTTTTACCAAACACCCTTCTCGGTTTCCTCTCTCTCTCTCTCTCTCTCTGCTGTTCTTGTTCTCGTGGTGGGGCGTGACTCCTTTTGGTCGAGCAATGCTTGTCACCTACTCATTTTTAGCTCCCACTTCCCGTCCTTCCTTCTCTTACTTGTTAAGAAGAATGATCGAGTGAGTGCGCAAGAAAACCTTTGCCGTTTAGTAGTTGATTCGATGGACAGGCACACCTGCAATCTCTGCTTCCGCCGCTTCTCCAACGGCCGCGCTCTCGGGGGGCACATGCGCTCGCACTTCATCGCCGCCGCCCCTCTGGCTAGGCCGCGCTCACACGGCTACTCTTCGGACTCCACCTCCTCCGCCCAACGTGCGGCGGAGCGTGCAGTCGAGGAGGAGGAGGTGGTGGTGGAGATGGAGAAGGAGGTGGGACTCTGTTACGGCCTCCGCATGAATCCCCGGAAGAGCTTCCGGCTCGTGGATCCCGAGTTCTCCTCTTCCACCTTCGCGGCTGTGGAGGCAGCCGGCTCCTGCGACGTCGTGCAGGACGGGGAGAGCGAGACCGAGTCCCCCCGCGGCCAGCGCCTCCCGACGAAGCGCCCCTGCAGGGCCACCGCCCCTCCGCTGGATCAGCCGGAGGGGGAGCCGATGAGCTCCGTCTCGGACGCGACCCCTGAGGAGGACATCGCCCTCTGCCTCATGATGCTCTCCCGCGACTCCTGGACCGCTACGGTGGAGGATCGCCCGTTGGACGGCTCCGATGACGAGGACACCCGCCGCCCCGCCGCCCGATCGCGGCCCCCGCCAAGGAAGGGGCGAAGTCGATACCAGTGCAGCGCGTGTAAGAAGGTGTTCCGGTCGTACCAAGCTCTCGGCGGCCACCGAGCAAGCCACAAGAGGACCAACGGCTGCCGCCCGGTCACCGAGCCCCGGATCAACAGCGAAGCCGACTCCGTCGACGCCAATGCCGATGCCAAGGTCCACGAGTGCCCCTTGTGCTTCAGGGTCTTCAGCTCCGGCCAAGCTCTTGGCAGCCACAAGCGGTCGCACTTGACGTCCTCCGCCACGACCGTCGCCGGCAACTCGCCGTTGGCAACCCCTCCGCCGCCATGCTCTCCGCCGAGCACGTCCCCTGTCCCCGCCACCACCAAGCACGGAGGCAACTTCGGTCTTATCGATCTCAACTTGCCAGCGCCAGAGGAAGACGACGCCGAGCTGTCGGCCGTCGAAAGCACGCAATCTGTACCCACACAGCCGGCACGTCGAAAGCATGCAATCTGAGCAGGCCTTCTAACACCGGAGCATGCGATACCCAAGTCCAAACTCCAAAGCAGAGGTAAGACTCTCAGAGACAAAGAAGCACAAAAAAGGTAGCCCCTTTGAAGTAAATTATGCAGCATCAAATCCTTTTCCTTCCGCACTGATATCGGATAAAGCTGGTGACTTGATGATTTTGTTTGTATGATTCTGCTCCTCTTTGCTTCTGCTGACATAAGTTCACAGGTTTCTTGTGGTGTTCAAGTTGCAGCTGTTGCTTACTGTAACAGCTGATGAACAGTAGGTGACATCAATGGCTTTCAGCAACTGCTTCAATAAAATTAGAATCAATTCTTCTTCTTCTTCTCATCTTCTATACAAAGTGAATTAAATTAGCCAGTGAGAGAAGAGCAGAGCAGCTGGCAGCTGCTATCGTTCTTCTTCATCCGATCTGTTCCCTCTGATACTTGGTCTTTTCTTCAACCTTTGCTTCGCTTCTTCACTGATACTCCTCTGGTACACGGCGCCTCAGCATTTCCACGTTCACCTTCTCCATCCGCCCTCGCTGTTACTGTTGGATTGGTCCAACCGAGGCCGTGCTGTTGGTGAACCGGGATTGCGTACGCTTGCGGTGGTGGGCGAGTATTAATTGGCCTCGCATTGGAGTCATCTATCCTCCTCCGGCTAATTACTCTTCCACAACGAAACCGCGGCGTCGGAGCGCACGGTCAAGATGCGGAACGGTGGGCCAAAGCGTGGTCTTCACGGAGGCACGTCCGATGCACGTTGGACGGCTGTGATGGACGGTTCTGCGGGTCTCTCGTTCTGTGCTTGGCTCGGAGCGAGTCGCGTGTAGAACATGCGACACCTGTGGAGAGAGACCCTCGCTGTTTCAGTTACGAAGCACCTCCACATCGCGCCCGGTCCGATTTGGTCTACTTATAACTATCCGTACGCGGAAGCGAAGCAACTGCTCCGGCTCAAATGGACGGGTTCGAACCGGTTGTTCAACTGTTGCGACGAGCAGAAACAGCAGTATTAGCGGCGGAGAAAGATGCGTGAGGGTGGAGGGCCGGTGGGAGGCGGGTCAGAATCCTGTGATGGAATGCAAAGCAGATTCCCATATCTTCCCTCCCTCCCTCTACTTTATAACAAAAGCCTTTTATGCACTTCCCCTTTGACCATCCAACTGTTCTCTCGCCACCTTGCTCATCCTGTTCTTCTTTCTTGCTGCATATTCTCACTTTTGTTTGATGATACAGCGATGGTTGAACTCTCCTGTTTATCCAAATCAAGATGTGAAGATACCAAAGACTTTGATTAATGTTAGTGATTGGTCATATGAGCAGCCCAGTAGATTTCTAGAGACTTCAGCTGCAAAGTGAACGAAACTAGATTGTATAGTATACGCTGGGAGAAGTCGTCATCACACGGTGGGTAGGCCTTCCAGTGTTGTCAGTAGTAACTCATGGCATTGTTTTCGATTCTTGCAACATAAGCATCAAAATGCGTTGTCTGCTGCAGATGCTTCTACCACAATTCACTGGGTGAATGGGAAATTGGCAATGTGTTTTGAGGGTGGCAGGGGGGGAGGAATAAAGTAGGGAGCAAAGAATAATAACATATATCACGATAGATAGAGAGAGAGAGAGAGAGAGAGAGAGAGGGCGGGGCAGTCTTGTGCTCCATGAGTTGGTGGTTGTCGGCTTAGATAGAAGGGAACAAAACAGAGAGGGAGCATTGGGTGTGAGGTCGGGAGCTTTCCACTCTTCACACACAGGTTTGAAGTGCACATCGGAGTGACCAAAGGAACAACTCAATAGCTACTCACTGTGACTAGTTGCCAAGCTTTCTTTTCCTTCTTGCCATCTCATTTGCACAAGGAATCTCAACTACAGAAGCACAATACGGAAACAAGGCTGGAGTGTGGAAGAAGAGATTGAATGATATGCTTGGATTTGGTGATGGATTGATTTAGAATATATCTTTGCTAAGGAGCAAGCTTAGGGTACCTTTATGCCCCTTGAACCCTCTATTACTTCTCAGAACACAGGAGGTGTCCTTAAGCTTCTCCACTAAGTGTTTGACAAAGTGAATGCAAAACAACATAAGTGCCTTAATGTCGAATTCAATAAGGGATCATGGAATCAATCTTCATCAGCAACCAAAGAGAATACCTCCTCAATCATTATCGAGTAGGTCAAGTGCATTGGACCAAAACACATAGATCTTAGTGGTGAAGGTAGAACTTGTTGTGTGGAAGCATCACTGACATGGCATTTCCTTTGGGGAACCACAGGGAAGCTTCATTTTGATCATCATTTTCAAGACCCAAATGTCGAAGAGGTCAATATCCAAGTACTTTCCCTCTCACAAACACATACACCCACTCATTCTCTCTCATGTTGCAGTTCATAACCCACTACATTTTTGTAAGGAAACCTTTGAAGTTAGCCCCACATCACTTGGAGTTTGGCAATGCCTGTGATACAAAGAAAATTTTGGGAAACATAAATGCTAAATTTTCATGATCTGACAAGAATCAATCAAAGCATTTAGTTGGCTATTCAGAATAGCTTCTTGTGAAATTTATTGGAATTGTCCTGTTTATGGAGTGCCATAATGCATATATGGGAAGGAATCCTATCTGACAAAATAATTTATCTGATGGCAACTGTTCTGTGGATAGTCCAAAAGAATCCATAACACCTTTAGGTGGGGAACCCACAATCTTCATCTTGCTCAAGCTGATGCCTCCTTGACTTGCATTCCATGTGCCCGAGTAGGTCTAAGTAACCACCCAAGGCAAAGACTTTTAGCTATCAAACACTAACATTATTTTCAGAATATTAAATATATATATTACATGTAGCACTAGCTCTGGTTACAGATTTGACATCTAAACAAACAATATATCTCAGATATCTTCTATTGCAGTCCTCACAATGACAACCTGAAGTTGATCCCTGGCAATGGAAGGGACTATAAATCTACATTTTGATGGAATTAGGTTCTTAGCCAACCTGTCAAAAGATGTTTCAAATATCAAAGAACAATTAGTGTTTGAATAGGAGTATAAAGGTCAGGTATCATCCACTAAGCATCTACAGATTGAACATAGTTGATTAGTTTTCAGTGGAAGCCAGGACAAGTTGCAGTGCTTTAAGTAGCTGCTATCATGATGATGTTTTCTGTGTGCAGAGTGAAGTGAAGGTTTCCTAAAAATTGGAACTCAAAAGAGAAGGCAATCTTTTACATTTGTGGCAGTACTGTCCATCAATGGACTGTGATTGCTGAACTTGCACAAACCACAGCTGCCACAATGATGATACTGTTCTACCCACAAGCATATCTAAAGGTTGTGTTGGAGCTCAATTCAGAGGCACATGCATTGTTTATTGTGTGTCACTACTACCAAGTGAATCATGCATAAAGAAGATGGTATTTCCTCTTTCTTCTGAACCTTTAGGAATTGTGCTATATTGTTTCCAGATTACAGATGGTCAAGAAAATTTTCATCTGTGGTGGATTCTTTCGGTTTTTGGAAGATCAATAGCTCATCCACCTCAAAGTATTAGGATTGATGTTTTGACATTTCATGTTCTGTATTCTCTCCTACTCTTGATCGAGTAATGTTTTATGCCCATGACAAACTGGAAGGGCATCAACATGGCATTGAAGCCTCATAATGTGTGTCATTAGGTTAAAGGTCAATAGTTAGTTGGTGCCATTGAATGTGGAATGTATAAGAGAAGATGTAATATATAGTTTTATGCTATATTTCATTCTCATTATTGTATCTTCCCTTCTAATATCTAAATTTGCTTTCGGTTTCCAAAATTTTATCTCCTCCTTTCAATCAAGTAAAAGCCATAGTTTCCGTGAAAATAATAAAAGATAGCAATATATTTCTAAATAAAGAATTTTAACTAAATGCAAAACCTCTTTAGATCACTATTATTCTAGCATTTTGCTTGAAACCATATATATATATATATATATATATATATATATATATAATGATATATCGTTTGCTACAGACGATATATATCAATCTGATAGGGGATTGATGCACGGACCATTTACTACTATATCTACTAAAAAGCTTTATATTGTCTTATCGAGCTTGTACCACTTAGCAACGGTAAAAATCCTCTCATTACCAACCTATACTAATCGATTTGATTTTGATCATTATTAACATAGGACTCATATCTTACCCTTTCTAATGGTTAGACCAATTTTAAAATCAAAGGTTTGTAAATAACTTCTCAATCATATTCAGCAACATCCAAATATATGACAATGACGTTGACAACATTGCCTCAATAGATAGTGATGACGATACTAATGAGTTGATGATCGTATTTATATAATTTGAAAGTGGGGCATGAACTCAGAAGTCTTTTATGTATATTATCCAAGATTCAGAGAATAAAGCTTGATATGATAATTAGTCATTCTTCTCAAAGTAATAGTACGATGATCATCTTATGGTACGAATAAGTAGATTAGTGATGAAAACAAAAGTTTTGATATTTCTCGTACTCTACACCAATATATGTTATAATTATACTTATCTCAAGATCTACCTCGGACACGCGTTGTTCATGACGATCAAACTATAATCATTACCACATTGATGCACTAATAGTATACGGTGTATTAATATACTATGTTGTGAGATCAATTTTAGGATCGAGTCTAACAAACATATCAAAATAATATATAAATACATAGGTTCGAAGATCCTGATTTGTATCTTATCGTTTAAATTATTTAACAAATGATATAATAATTAAACTTTTTTTAGATAATTTGATATCAATGAAAGGCCTATCTATAATGTACTATAAAGCTATTCCTCAAATTCCAAAAAAAACATGGATCATTATTCTTTTTTAATTTAAATTATTTTTACTAAAATTTTATTTTTGTTTAAAAAACCATAATCTAATTTTTTTTAAAAAAAATTAAAACTATTTTTACATCTTTCTATATAAAAAATTAAAACTGTTTTTATATCTTTCTACACCACCAATCGATTGGTATATATATATAAGCTTGATTTGGTGGTGTCTCGCTGTCGAATTTGCGAAGGTGTTGTGGAGATGGAAACATCTGAGGGAATGTTGAAGCGACCGTTTCCTTTTCTGTTGGGGAGGGGATCAAACTGATGAGGGCTTCGTCGGCACCTTCGTCACTGAAATGCAGCCATTGAGATGTCGGTGTTGCTTTGAGAGACGAGGATAGGGGATTCCGGATTTGCCGCAACAGATGAAAACCATCAATGCTATCGACTGATTCATTTGCTTCCGGGGCTGTAACGAGCAAAAAGAGATGGTGGTATCAGTTTGATTTGGACGG